AGAACTGCTGATTTAGAGCCTTCTGGACAAAAGACAAACTATTTGTTCCCCCTGCCCCTCCCATTGTATACTAATGTAGCAAAACAAAGATTGGAAAATTGAGTGCACACTGCTGTGCCGTTTAGAAGGGAGTGGATGGAGTCACATAGTAGCCACACTCCAAAATACAGAAAGGATCCTGCGGTCCTATTGGACGCTCTGCCCTGAGGTGGAGAATGTCCCTTTGGGGCCTTGAGGGGGAGCTTTGCCTCTGCGTTTCCTCTGTCCTCCTCAGCTCTACCACTGGTACTTCTCCCTTTGAAGTCACATCTGTTAGATAACAATTGCCAGGGCCTGTTGTTCTGGACTAAGTGCCATCAGATGCTCACCTGCAACTAAGCTATTCATCGTATCTTCCAAGAAATCTGGATTAGAGAAATAATAGCCAAATTTTCCAACTAGGCCAGCAAGATGGTTTGGGGACAAGCACCTGCCTCACAAGCCTGGGGACCCAAGGTGTTCTCTGACCTCTACACGCTCACACACATATGCACACACAACCATAAATAATAAGAACCAGAACAAGTTGAACTGACAAGTTGGCGATTCCCTTCTGCCTTTCCACACAAGGAACAACCTGAAGTAACCTTGTGGTGAGCTATTAGTCATTTTGTTGTTCTGTCTCCCTGGTCCTTTCCTGGTCTGGAAACAGCCAGTCTACTCTTTGCTGTTCTGTTTCTGGTTTCTTTAGACTTTCTCTATAAATACAACTTTCTTCGCTTTGGCTACCAGGATGCTCACTCTGTCTTATAGAATGAAACGTTGTCCAGTTGAAATAAAGAGCTGAAAATGAAGTCAGGCTGGGAGTAGAGTGCTTGCTTAGGGAGCCCACGGCTCTGGAATTGATCCCCCAACATGTTCCTCATTTCCTGCCCCATGGTAGAAAACACTGGAGAATTTGACCTTTGACCTTGTCTGCTGCTTTCTGGCTTAGGGAATCCAAGAGTGCCCAGGAGTCTTGAGCAGTTTTCCTGATTGTGTGGGTTCAGGCTCATGGTTCCCTTGGCTGTACAACTCCCCAAGGAGTCAGCTTCATATCTCTTTGATCTAGTCGCTTTGCACATCCCTGCAGCAGATCCCCAGTGTTTCTCTGACACCCTCCTTCCTTGGGTTTGCTGTGTGACATGGAATTTTTGCTTCTTCCAAGCCAGTCTATTGACTTAATGGATGCTATTTTGAATCAGACTGGCTTTTGCTGCTAGATGGCATTATAAGCTTTTCACTTGAGCTATTCTTATCCAAGGGCTGATCTAAAACAACCCCTCTTAACTCAGAGGATCTCGACCTGTGGGTCGTGACCCCCGGGGGGATTGAATGGCCCTTTCACAGGGGTCACCTAAGACCATTGGAATACAGATATTTACATTACAGTTCATAACAGTAGCAAAATCACAGTTATGAAGTAGCGACGAAAATAACTTTATGGTTGGGGGGGGTCACCACAACATGAGGAACTGTAGTAAAGGGTCGCAGCATTAGGAAGGTTGAGGACCACTGCTCTAACTCATCTTGCTGTGTACATCCTAACTTCAATGTTAACAGTGAGGATGACAGCAGTTCTCCTCACTTAAGAATGAGGCGGGAAGTGTGGAGTGCCAATTGACCTTTTTCAGGAAGAGGCTTTTTCAGCTTTTGTTTTCATCGGGTGGGTGGTTTTCCCCTGCTCTTCAGGTCTGACTCTTAGCCGGTAGCAAGACAGGCATCTTTATTCTTTGAAGAAGGTGAACCTTCCAATCGCCTTTTCTTCTTCAAATAAAACTGTATGGCACAAGTTGTGCATGCCCAGGGGCATCTTAACCCTTCGGACAGTTACTCCCTGACCTAGAGGTAAATGCAGCCCAAAGTGTGTCCACCGTTCTTCTTAAATTATGCTCAAGAACATGCCTACCCCTAAAGTAGTTTGCTTAGAGAGGGGGCATTATTTCTTGCTGATTTCTCTCTAAAGTGATGTTTGGTTTTTGTTGTTTTGAGGCTGACTGTGAATTTCTGGTCCTCTGCCTCCACCCGCCAAGTGTTGGGATTCCAGGCGTGGGCCGCCACATGTCTGTTTCCACTCTCACGTCTTGGCGTGCTTGTTACGGCTTTACCTTCCACGGATTGAGGTTATTGACCCCACCCTCTTTGCTTTTTGCTGTTAAACCAGGAACTTATTTTCTGACTTCGTCCTCTCCCACTTTTACAGTCAGTGGTAGCCCGAAAGAGCCAACACCTGCTGCTAACATTTGACTTTCAGTCTCATGCTTCAGATGTGTTAGTTATCTGCCATTTAAATCATCACAGAAAAGTGTTTTACCAACCTTTGCCAATCTCCCAGGTCTGCTTCTCACTCTTTGGGGCCTCTTCTCTCCCTCACCGTGTTATTACACTCATGAGTGACAACAGGCCAGGTCCCATTGCAGCAGCTCATAGTACCCAACTCTCCCTGGAGTTTTTTGCTTTCCGGGGGGCGGGGGGGGGGGGGGGGGGCGGGGGGGGGGATGGTGGTGAGAGAGGGCTGTTGTTGTTTTGTTTTTTTCGAGACAGGTTTCTCTGTGTAACCACTCTGGCTGTCCTGGCACTCACTAGGTAGACTAGGCTGGTCTTGAACTCACCAGAGATCTGTTTGCCTCTGCCTCTCAAGTGCTGGATTAAAGGCGTGCTCCACCACGGCCTGGCTCAACTCTCCCTGCTCTAAAGAGCAGTGGTTTATTTATATATGCTGCCAAAGGGTAAAAATCACAACAGTTGAGATCATTGATTTTTTAAATTTATTTATTTCATATCAGTGTGTTTATGTACGTGTCAGGGTGTACATGTGAGGTCTGAGGTCAGTTTTCTCTTTTACTGTGTGGGTTCCAGGGATCTACTTCAGGCTTAGCAGCAGACACCTTCACCCACTGAGTCTTCTCCCCAATCCCAAGGTTAGTGGGCTTCATTGGCTTTATTTTCTATTTTAAAATCTAGCGGTTTCCAGTGGGCCAACCAAAGGTGTTTGGTACAGACAGAAAAAGCCTTGAAATCTGATACAATAAAAGGTAAATAAATGTGTCATTAAAAAGTCATTTCCTTTATGGCAGAGAAAGGGAAACAGAATAGAAAAATAATTGATAGCATCAAATCCTTTCTTTTGTTGATGTTTTCTTTTTATTTTCTGGGGGAAAGGAGCTCACGCATAATCCTAGCCATCCTAGAACTCACTTGTGTAGCCTAGGCTGGCCTACAACTTGTAGCAGTCCTCCTGCCTCAGCATACAAGGTGAGAATTATAGATAGGAGCCACTACTCAGAGCTAGGTTACTTCTTTGTGTAAGGATTAGGCAGGAGGAGCTTCAATGTTGTGCTAGTAGAAGCTGGCTTGTTTGGGGTGGGGCACAATTCCTGGGATTTTCTAATCCAGAGTTTTCAGGAGGTCAGACCAATAGTTTAGTTCCAGATGGGTGTGAATGACTCCATGTAGATTGTTAGCTTGGTCTTTTGGGGGATAGGGGAGGTGCTAGGTCCAAACAGTGGCCTCCTGTCATATTTATTTAACACTTGTTTATGGAAGTGTTCTTGTGAAACTTGAACATGGTCTCCTATTGTTGATGACTCTAGTTTATTTATTTTCAATGTCCTCCTCCTCCTGGGGATTTAGCCCAGGGCCTTGCACATGTCACATAAGCTACTTACCGCTGAGTTATATCAGCCCTTTGTTTTGTTTTTGTCATAACATCTGCTTTGGGGAGGAGAGCAAGGGGTGAATGCTAGCATTCTGGGTCTAGAATGGGCTTCTGGTAGGCACAGTAGTTCAGCTGAATTTACCCACATATCTGGGCATCTATCTGTGGCATGTGTGGGGCATTGGCGGCTGCAGGGATGTTCTTCCTCTTCCTTCCTCTTCTCTCTTATCACCATCGACAGTGTGGCTGTAAGGGAAGCTTAGGTTTAAGCAGATCTAGACATCAGGAGGATGAGTGCCATTATACACATGCCTGGAAAAAAGCATGCTGTGTGAGCAGAAGAGCAGTGCTGTGTTCATGATGGTTGAAAAGGAAAGGCAGGCATGGAGACCAGACTCAAGGAGTCTGAGGCAGGGGGCTCAGAAGTTTCAGATCAGCCTGGGCTATAGGATAAGACCTTGTCTCAACCACCCACCCTCTAAAAAGATGTGAAATAGCTAAATAAAACCAATTTCTTCTCTCTCTCCTCTTCTATCCCCCACTTCCCATCGTCCTAGGAATAGAACCTAGGGCCTTTCTTGTTTATTCTAGGTCTGTGCCATGCTCCTGAGCTACACAGCCTCAGTCTCCCCTTCCTGACTCCTCCTCCATCTCTAGGTCCTAAAACAATTTCCATTCCTGCTTAAATGAACACAGTCCTTCTAACCTTTATTGTCTTTTACCTTAGCCCAAACTACTCATAAAACACCATACTAAATTTTTTGTAACACTACACCTTTTTCCGGTTCTTTTGACGCCTTGCCAACAAAAGCTTTGAAATGGCTCAGAGGCAATTGAGACTTCTAAATAACTTGCAGGATGTTCAGGAATCTCTCGCTGTGCTTTGAAGAGTCGGGCATTTTCAGTTGCTTGTGCTTTAGCAAGATTTAACCAAATAGAAGGTTATGAGGGGGCTCCTCCTCCCGGAGGTCAGTGTCAATTGCGGGGTCAGCGATGGGTTACTGGCGTAGTACCAGTGCGTTCTCTAGGTTTTATGTGTCTTGTCCTGTCCTAACAGTGCTGATGTCGTTTCCGATTCCCACTGTTGCTGAGTTCTTTCGACTGCTGCGTGCACTGAAAGTTGCCAGGATGCATGCAGTCTCATTCCCTCTGTCTAGCCTCTGCCCATGTCACCTCTCCTCCTGCTGTCTCTGTCATCTCAGCAGATCTGAGGTCTCCCGTACCTTATGCGGGCTCACATCCGTAAACACAGGGACCAGATTTCTCTCATCCTCCTTCTTTCCTTCGCCTCACTTTATCTTTTTCAAAACCAAGTGGAAAAGGCTGAGGATGTAGCTCAGTTGGTAGAGTGCTTGCCTAGTATGCACGAGGACCTGGGTTCAATCTCCAGCACCCCATAAACGGAGCATGGGGGCATGTTCCTGTAACCCCAGAACTGAGGAAGGGGAAGCTGGAGGGTCAGGAAGTTCAAGGTGATCCTTGGATACACGCTGCATTCGAGGCCAGCCTGAGCTACATAAGACCCTGTCTCAAAACAAAAAGCAAATATGGAGGAGATAAGCATCTGTACTTGTCTGAGTGTACACTGCCCCGATCTTTTGCTTTTCTCATTAATGGAAATTTGGGCAAAGTAATTCCAGTGAGATCATGTTTACAGCTGTCTAGTATCCACAGTTTAGAAGTCATACTCTCTCTTTCTTTGTTAAAGAACATACACTTTGTTTATAGTTTGTTTTAATAGTTGTGTTAATTTGGTCATTCCATTTTTAAGATTTACTTTTATTATTTTTACATTAATGTGTATGTTTGTCTGTGTGTGCACGTGTGTGCTCGAGGAGGCCCGAGGTGTCGGGTCCCTCAGGAGCTGGAGTTGTAGGCAGTTGTGAGTCACCCCGCATAGGTGCTGGGAACTGGCGAAGAGCAGCATGTGCAGTTAACTGCTCCCTGAGCATCTCTCCATCCCCAGGTACACTATCAACAGGCTGACATGTGCTCCTTGAATACTTCGAGATTTTGTGTTGTTGAGGCAGGTCTCATTCTGTAGCTCAGGCTGTCCTGGAATCCAAAACAGGCAATCTTCTATCTCAACTTCCTGGATGCTAGGATTACAGACATTTACAGACGTGTCCCACACCTGGCTTGGGGCCTTTTTTTTTTTTCTAATGTACTTTAAGGACTGTTTGTTTGTTTGTTTGTTTTTTGAGACAGAGTCTCTACATAGCTCCAGCTGTCCTGGAACTCACTATGTAGACAAGGCTGACTCAGAAAGATCCACCTGCCTCAGCCTCTATCAGAGGCATGTGCCGTCACTCCTGGCTACTTTTAGTTTTAACACGTTGCCAGAACTTCTCCAAAACTGTTATCCTCAAAATGCTGCAGAGGACCCCCCCGCCCCCCTCTTCCTTCTTGATGGGATTTCTGTCGCAGAGTGGCCTTCACTCACTCGGTAGCCCAGGATAACATTGAACTGAGCCTCCCTCCAAGGTCTGGGATTACAGACCCGTGTCACTCTGCTAGTGTATGTGATGCTAGGATCAAACGTAGGGCTCTACGTATAGTAGACAAGCACTTCACCGACTGAGACACGTCCGAGCTCCGTGCTTCTAGAGTATTGGGGGAAATTACTGTTTACCAACAACTGTTGAATGGATATCTGAACCCTAAATGAAACAACAGTGAGATTTAGGAAAGCTTTTGTGTGCAGGGATATTTTCCTTCTACCCTTTTCCCTCAACCTCACGAACAGAAAACAGGTGGTTCTGGCACCAGGAAAAGACCTTTCTTTACTAGAGCCCAGCATTCTCAGTTTGATGAGGGTGTAGATAGATAATCTGTAGGGCTGAAACCAAAGAAAAGTGTCAAAGAAGCTTTTTGTGCCTGGAATCAGTCTGTCTCGTCTCTTCTCCCTGCCCTCCCCTCCCCTCCTCTTTCCTCCGGGACTGAGTCTCACTCTGTAGCCCAGACTGACCTTCAACTTGCAATCCTCCTGCCTCAGCTCCTGTGTGCTGGTGTGCACCACCATGCCTGGCTTAGGAACTCATCCACTAATTTGACTAAGAGTCTATAAAATAACACTTAGAGTATGCTCTGTGCAAAAGAAAAAATGTCTTTAAACACTGGAATAGCACTGGGCTTGGCAGGGTACTTGAGTTCCAAAAGCACAGCCGAGGCTGGTTTATGATTCTGCAGAGTCCTGTGCCGTCTCTCTTAATTCTGAGTGGCTGTGAACAGCTGTGGGTGCCATGGGGACTCTGTCTCTCTGCACCTCATTTTAGGCTTGTGTAGTTGACCTAGAGGACATTTAATGGTGAATGCATTTCCTCACTGACTATTCAAACACTGAGCCTGCAGCCTCATTCTTTTCTCTTCTGTCCCCAGCATTCCCGTGGTTTGGTATGGATATTGGCGGAACCCTGGTTAAGTTGGTTTACTTTGAACCAAAGGATATCACAGCAGAAGAAGAGCAGGAAGAAGTGGAGAACCTGAAGAGCATCCGGAAGTATTTGACTTCTAATACTGCCTATGGCAAAACTGGGATCCGAGACGTCCACCTGGAACTGAAAAACCTGACCATGTGTGGGCGCAAGGGGAACCTGCACTTCATCCGCTTTCCGACCTGTGCCATGCACATGTTCATCCAGATGGGCAGCGAGAAGAACTTCTCCAGCCTCCACACCACCCTCTGTGCCACGGGAGGTGGGGCTTTCAAGTTTGAGGAGGACTTCAGAATGGTAGGTTGGGCTTGCCCTTGTTAGAACAGCCAAGCTTCTCACATGACCACAGTCTAGGCATGCTAAGATCTAGACCATTAACCTTGGGACTTGGACTTGTCTGTGCTGTGGTTTCCTCACCTATATGAGAACAAATCCGTGACCTGTTTCATAGGGCTGTTCCGAGAAAGGTTCAATGAGGAAATATGTACCTGGCTCTGACTGAGTACTCAACATCTGTCATCATCCTCACTTTTGTGACACAGGCTGGTCTTGAACTCACTATGTAGCCAAAGAGAACTCGAACATCTGATTCTCTCTCCAACTCCTGGGGTTACAGTAGTATGCTGCCATGATGGTTTCTATGGTGCTGAGATTGAACAGTTACTGCTGTGTCATATGTAGAGACAAGATGATATACATCACCTTCAGAGACACGTAGCTCAGTTAGTACTGGGTTTTCCACAGACTCTTACTACATAGTCATGAGGCCAGTTCTATGGATTCATAGGCTGAGACCCACAGGAACACTTTCTACACGTCTAACTAAAAATGATTGCATCTTTCTACCCATTTGCGCTCATTCATGTCTCAGTTTTGTGAGTGCCGTTCTGAAGTTTCTCTTACAAAAATAAGATCTTCGGCTGGTCATGATGGTGCATGCCTGTGATCCTAGCACTTGGGATGTAGAGACTGAAGGACCAAGGCTAGCCACTCGACCTCAAAAAATCGAAACAAATAAACAAAAAACCCCACACTGCAAACATCTTCACTGTTATTTGTAAGTGAATTCCTTCGTTATTGAATATCATTTTAAGGTGTACAGTGCTGAGTATTAGATAAGGAAAAATAACATTCAGCCCAGAGTCTCTCTCTGTTAGGCAATCCCTTAACATCTGTGTTCTAATTTCTCCATCTCGTCAGGCAAGACAGTAAGCTCTCTACTGACTAAGTGAGAATAAAATTAAGGAACGAATGTGGGTCTGTCTGGGAAAGTACAGGCAGTTAGATACGTGCTTGAACATAAGTGAAGGAAAGGTTAGAAGATTTTAGGACTGATCATCTCACAAAGTGGAAAACCCCGTGAGATGCATCGTAGAATGCATTGTTCCAAGCCTGCAGTGCAGACTCCTGCATTTTGTCACAGAACAAATGTAATTGAGTCTTGGTAGAAAAATCTGTGATCATTGCATGATGAATGATCATGTTATTTACAGTGTTTAATAAAGCTGGAAGATGCAAATTTTGTCATCAAAAGGAACACGTTTTACTCCACTGATCTCAGTGAGTAGTGTTTTGGGGGTGGGTGGGATGCTGCTGATAAAATCCAGGGCTCAGGCTAGCAGTGCACAGTGAGTAATATTTTGGGGGTGGGTGGAATGCTGCTGATAAAATCCAGGGCTTAGACTTGCAGTGCACAGTGAGTAGTATTTTTTTTTGGGGGGGGGGATGCTGCTGATAAAATCCAGGGCTCAGACTTACAGTGCACGTGCTGAGCAAACTGAACCTTCAGTGGGAACTTGCTAGAGAAGCTGGCAGCGGTCCTACAGCACTAACCTGGGTGAGACCGATTAGCTTCAGGTTTTAACCATCTTCTTCTGTGCTGTCCTCTCCTACACAGCCATAGAATTTAACACGACCACTGACTCAAATGACTCATGCGTGGGGTTCTCCTCCCCACTAAAGGGACTCAGTAACCGAACAGTTTTGAAATAAAAAAGTTAAGGAGCATGGATGTGAGAACTTAAGCCCATATTGGGATGGGGGTGGGGGTTAAACCTGAATTCTAGTTCTGTTTCTGCCTTTACCTGCTAGGTAGCTTTTGCTGAAACATGTTTCTGCTGTGGGCCTCAATTTCATCATCTGCAAACAATGGCGGCAATGTGGGGAGTGGGGGAAGGGCATCCAGGACAAAAGAACTGGAAGTGATAATAGCATTCTTACACTGTGTGAAGAAACTAAAGCTTTCAGGCCCTTAAGAGGCTTTTGCATTGTAATGCCTGCTGGGTAAGATCTGGTCTTGAACCCCTGTTTTAATTCAGAAGGAGAGCTGCCTTTGTGTGGGAATGGGATCAGTTCCTTAAGCCTTCCAGTCCATGCTATCTTGTCTGTGCACTGGAGAGCCTGAGGTGAACCAAGATGACCTGATGGATTTATGCAACCTCTGTCATGCCTCCATCCCTCCTCAGGGTTTATTCATGCCCTAGGAGAAGGAGTTACTCAATCTGTGTTGGCCATGAGCAAGTGCGTTTCTTAAGGTTTTAAACTGAGAAAGGTCATGTTGTCCTTCAGGCAGTTGCTTGGAGCCTAATGAACAGACCAGAGCAAGGAGCACATCTGGAGTTTTGGCTAAGCTGTTTGGCCAAGCTGTTTCCATGAGGTGTTGGACCAGTGGCTGTCTTCTGTTTCCATGATAAGTCTTGGCCAATGTGAAGACAGAGTTGAGAAAGATTTCTTCCTGTGTCCTGTTTGAATAAATGATGGTCTTGTATCCAAAGCTTGTGAGGACGGATAGGCTCTCCCACCTTCTTTCTGTGTAGCCATTCACCCACCCAACACATAGTTTAATCATGCCCCTTTTGGGTGCTAAAGTAGTGTTATTCACAAAACACATCTCCTGACCACCGTGTGGTCAATGATCATGTAAGCAAGTGAATATGCAATATATTAAGTATGTAGGTGTTTTAT